CTCCTTTGCTAGCAGGTTATTATTCTGGCACCACTGTGAAAGGCTTTGCTGATACATCCAACCACAACTGTGTCATCTGCAGATTTCACAGTTGTGTTAGGATTGTTCATAGCCACACAGTCATGTGTGTACAGGGAGAAGAACAGGTTTGAAGACACACCCTTTGGGGGCTCCAATGTTTAGGGTACATTTATCTATCTATCTATCTATCTATCTATCTATCTATCTATCTATCTATCTATCTATTAAAGACACTGTAAGGTTGTGAATTAGGCCTTGAAAAGGGGACTGCACGTCTCACTGACATCTTCTGTGGTAGGAGCTGGGATGTGAGGAAGAGACATGAGTGAGGTAAGCGAGGAGAAACAGAAGCATAATGAAGAGCATCCATTATGCCTGTCAGGACGAGTTTTCATCAAGAATGTGCTCCTGCTTAGAAAGATAACTTCTGCTGAGTCACATAATGGTGGACAGGATACAGGATTGTGTGTCAGTGCATACTGTCTGGTCCTTTACATAAGGAATAGTGGTGCCTTATGAAACGTACACACTTTTATTCACAGGTTACACAAACCAGTGATAGACACCATTATGACACAAGACATTTAAAGCAAATTGGAATGTGTAGGGCCATGTCAAACTGGAACAAACTACCACTACATTTAGCCTAGTAGTAAGCTGGTAGTAAGCTACATTTAAGAAATTATAAACAGTAAAAATTGAGATTTTTTTGTTCAGGATGCGAAATACATGTTTTTTGGAAGATTTACTTCAGTTAAATTGTCAGTCATTTTTTAAGCTAAAAAACAAAATGTACATCTATTTTTCCTTTCAACATTTTAAATGAATTCAAAGGGAGGTATATTTAATCCAGTCTAAAATAAAGGAGCCATTAGCAGCTATTAAGGTTCATTTACATGAAACATTATTGTTCTCTCTGGGATGTTTGTATCACAGTTTATCTGACAGAGCAACACCCACCACTGCAGTTCAATGGTGAACTGGCCCTCTCTTCCCTCCCACAGACAATTACACTGGTTTCTGTACATCGACAAAACCCTCATTGGTAAAACACCACCATATCTGCGTTCATTACTTACCATTCATAACTCCACCTGTATTCTTTGTTCTGACAGTCTCATTAACCTCCACATTTCCAAAATCCACTCTCTGTCGATCCTCATTCCAGTTTTCTGCCACTAATGGCTGGAGCTCTTTGCAACATTTCCTAAAACCCGCTTCATATTTGTTACTGTCATCGTTCAAAAAATCAGTTCGAGCAACACTTCGGGACCACTACACCTGTTATTAGCCTCTCTATGTTATAAATCTTTATGTATTTTGTTTTGTAGCATTGTGTGAGTTGCTGTACATCTAATATGTTTTTCCTATTCATCTCGTTTGTATGCCACCTCTTGACCAGGTCGTTATTGAAAATGAGAACCAGCTAACGATTAACTTACCTGGTAAAATAAAGGTTAAATAAAAAAAGCAAAAAAAATAAATAAATAAAAAAAATTGCTGCCTCCATTTGTTTCACTAGTATATTGATGCCGTGCAATTACAGACGAAGCATTCTCCCGATATGAAACTGCATTAAAACTATAGTCGGCAGAAACCTGGAAACAGCAAAACACAAGCAAACCAAGCAGAAAAACTCATGAAAAACAGCAATGTGAAAATATACAGCTCTCCTTATGCAATGCTCTTTGTTCTAAGCCCATCCCACCAGACAAGCATCACAGTCAAAGCTGAAAGTCTGCATTCATTTACAATGAGAATACAAGAGGATTTTTTTTTTTTTAAATCGCTGATGCCAAAAAAGTCAGCCTACCACAACTTTAACCCTCATCCCAGAACCCAGGTTTGAAAGTCATATTATTAAAAGAAAAAAAAAGATAAACAGTAAATCATGATATTCCATTAAATTTGCATTCTACCATATGTCTCCTTGAAAAAATTGAAAAGCCCCCCAAAAAAAGAAACAACAATAACTTCGATAACACTTCATAATAAGTGCACACTTTGAAGCGTTATTTAAAAATCAATAAATACTGAATTCATCATTTATTTATCACATTGAACTGATCACAAACTATTCTTCCCCCTTGTATGCAGATGATACAGTATTGTACTACTTTTCTATCACCACACAGTCATCACATTTCATATTGATACATTGATACATTCACCTGCAAACTCCAGCAGAAAATTGGGCATTTCTATAGAAACAGAGCCACTTTTCCAGTGTTCTGCAGGAAGCAAATAATTGAAGCCTTCTTCTTGTCTGTGCTGTCATCTACAGAAACACCTTTATGTGTGCTGTAAACGCCCTGGATCCAGTTTACCACTCAGTTCTAGCATTTATTACCTGTGACAGCTCTTCCACTCAACACTGCTTATTGTATGACAAAGTTTACTGGCTATCCTTAGTAGTAAGGCAAGACGGACATTGGCTTCTGTTTGTTTATAAGGTCCTGAATGGCAAAATGCCACAACACATACCTTCCTTGTTGAATTGGTTCCAAAATCATTATTCAGCTCTTTCAAGTGAAGAACTAATGCTCACATGCTTACACGGACATCGGTAAAACTGCTTTTAGCTGTTGTGCTGCACACCTTTGGGACATTCTGCAGCAAACATTGAAGCTTGCTGCAGCTATATCTGTTGATCCATTTACACACATGAACACAGACTACACTGCTTCTGAATGTAGCTGTTTTTAACTGTTTTTCTTTTTATTTGGTTGACTGTACTCTTGGCATCCTTGGAAATGATTAATGAATAATGTGACAGGAACAAAAAATGCCAGCAAACTGATTGGAGTTCAGACTACTTTTTTTTGTTTTTTAGCCATTGTAAAAGTACATACAATTATACGACTTTAGAATGAATGCAATGTATGAATATTGCAACAGCAGAAGGCTTTTCAGTATTAACAAGGACTGAGATGAAGCAAGCCAGAAATGAAAGAGTTAAAGAGAGGGTAGCAGAGGGAGATAAACAAGAAGATAGTCATTGCAACAGTACTACTACGGCTGCCAACAATAATCAGAGAGTGATGTTGTTTTTTTCTGAATCGCATTATCTCACTCTTGTTTGACCCCTTAGAAGCTTTTTGTGTTTAAAAAAAAAAAAAAAGCTGAATATACTGTAGTTCAAGAGACAGGAGGGGCAATTATAGTATGTATATCCAAATGCACATACTATAGTTTACAGCTGCAATTTTCCTTATATTGCTGCCAATCTGCAACCTGTATTGTTTATCAGGGTAAGAGTTATGATTGAGCTTTTAGATTCTGCATTCTGTCATTATAGTACACATTTCTTTTTCAGTATGTACACCCAACTTAAAATATGTCAACATAACAGGGTGGTTAAAAAGCATCTGTTGGGCAAATTTGATCTCTTGATGAGTGTGGCATACACAAGATTACTATGTACTTGTGGAAACGGTTTGGTGAAAGCTTCGTCTACATTTCAGCACCAATAATCTTCCAAGAAAAAAAACAAAAAACACATTGAGCTAAATACACAATTGGCTGCCAACTTTCTCATTTACTTTTCTCTACAATTTCACGTCTGTTACAAACTGAAGGATCCATAAACTTTAGCGGTTTGTGTGCATTTCTTCACATAAAACACAGTCACAGTTTCTCAGCTGCAGTTGTTGCATAGTGGCCATCCTCAGGTTAGGTTCTGAGCTCCATCATAGCTGTCAGATTTTTTTTTTTTTCCTCTTTATAAACTAGTAGTTAGATTATCATTTTGCACAGACAGAATTTTCAGTGTTTAAGAAAGCTGCGGATGGCTTCATTTGCAGTTTGTATATCTAATGGCTGGCTAAAAAGGGTTTAGGATACATGCACGAGGGAGCAATGCTTCCATGGCTGGCGCACTGTTGCAGGATAAATATAGAAGGGAGGACTGCCACCACAGCTACCATAGTGTGTTCTTTGATGCGGCCATGATTTAAAATGACTACATGCTTTCTCACTCTTTCCAGACTCTGAAGGACCCCACTCTTGCAGCCAGGAAAGATTTCCAGCGTGAGGCTGAGCTGCTGACGAACCTTCAGCACGAGCACATAGTGAAATTTTATGGAGTGTGTGTGGATGGAGACCCTCTCATCATGGTCTTTGAGTACATGAAGCACGGAGATCTCAACAAGTTTCTCAGGTGAGTCCAGCAAAGACAACAGACGCGAGAGGAGGAGTGCATCTGCTGTCATGTAATCTAGTATTTATTTTGTCATTTCACAAAAATCATTAAAAAGACTCACATTTTTTCACTTCACATGTGAAAATAAAGCTTTTGTCTATATACTATATTATGTGCCTACAACTTATTTGCAATATCTTTTATGAGATGTTAACACATGTGAAGGCACTTTCACCAAATAGCACGCTGGTGTCATGAAGGTATAACTCCAAAGTATAAGGCAAGTTGAATGTTGCAATTCTACACAAGTGTTTGAACATGTTGTTGTGAGTGTAAATAAGTAGGACTTGATTAATGCTTAGAGCCAGATGCACTTTGTGTATCTTGGTTAAAGGGGGCACTTGCATGATTTTCCACTACAGACAGTGGACTACAGTGGTCAGACAACCTTCCAGATAAGTCAAGCTCATTGCTAGGAGAATACACAGTCAATGTATGACCCAATCCTGTCTCCTAAATATTATGTTTTTTAACAACTAAGCAACATTCCCATACATATATATTTGCATGAGCAGTGTGTTAGTAAAGTTCCAACATACATAGAGAGTTCCGACAATTGCTGTCATAGACATTCCCCATATTGTGATGCATATTAAAATGTTAACATATTTAGCGATCATATAGAATATATAATTATGTTTTGCAATATTTCAAAATTACCATTTGTGCATAGACTTATGTGGGTTGTATCCCACTCTCCTGCCACTTGTCTTTAACTTTCTTGTGTTTATTTCTGTTGATTTTATGGAAAGATTCAGACCAGTAGTGTTAGACTGAAAAAATCCCTTTAAACTTTGTCAGGTCTGTGTGTGGCACACAGAGCAGTGTGTTAACTTGTTGGCACTGAGTGATGGATGGGCCTGTCTCAGAAAACTACTGCTGGTTGATGTCTTATTTGAACTTTGTCACCAGACTCCAGCTACCTACTTGTTGAAAAGTGCCATTCCCTTATCCTTTACACTCTGACTTCCCCTCTCTTAAGGTGAAACTCTGGCTGACTGATGGTGGGCAACTTATTAAAATGTTTTCACTGAGCAATTTATAAATATAAAAGACAGACTCCACTTTGGGATGAAAAATGGTTGCCATAGTCGATGTGTCTTACTGTGAGAAACTTGTTAAAGTCATGTCAAGTGCCATAAAAGTGTGTTGTGCAGTGATTGATGAATGAGTCTGTCCGATAGAGTGACAGACTGGGAGTGTTTCCTCCTGGAGTATTTTAGATAACACAGTCAGTTTTATTCTTAATAGTAAAAATAGGACCAAGGTTGGTCTTATAGTGAGGAACAGCTAATATACCTTGAAATAGACAGATGCAGAAGTATCTTTCTCATGTAGATTAATGTGCTTCAAAAAGAGGTAACTTCATCGCAAATTTTCCCAAAAAACGAATGGATGACAAATTTCTGTTAAATCTACTGTGGCTATTCAGATTCAGATGTAAAATTTGTTTACTTAGACTGAGAAGTAAACAATCTAATCAGCACAATATCAGTTTATTTAACACATGCATCATGCATAAGATGGTGCTGTGAGAATGACAGCCAGTTACAGCGGCTCTTACCTACTTTCTGTGTTTTTAGTTATTTATTTTAGTTTCTTCTCTCTTTTTAATATTTTTATTTCAAGCAGCTGTACCACAATCATGGAGATTCAAACAGCAGTTTTATTAGCTTGTTGCATTAGTTTGTTGGCAGGGCTACATTTAAAGACAGACAACCAAGCACACTCACATTCACACCTACGGACAATTTACAATCAACAATTAACCTCAGCATGTTTTTGGACTGTGGGAGGAAGCGGGAGAACCCGGAGAGAACCCACGCTGCATGAGGAGAACTCAAATGCAAACTCAATGCAGAAAGATCCCGGGTGTCCTCATCGGGACACGAACCAGGGATCTTCTAGCTGTGAGGCGACAGTGCTAACCACTGCGCCACCTTGCAGCCCATCCCATAGATCAGAAACATGAAATTAAAGAAAGTTGAATTTCTTTGATTATTAATTTGAAAAGCCTGGAATTAAAATATACATAATTGTATGTTGCCAAGACATGTTAGTTGTGTGTGCCTGTCCATCAACATGTTGACATGTTGCAGTCTTGTGTTGAAAGTGACACGGTTGTGGTGCGAAGACTGACTTGATGAGAATGCTGTCACCGCTATTGTGGAAAAATGACCAGGGTACTCATTCATGAAGGTATTTAGATGCCATCAGACGAATGGAAAGGAGTCTGAAAGGGGTTGAGGAGACACTACACCAGCTTATTTTTTATATTTTGGTAGTTCACCTTTTTTTTTAGACATCGTTATATATAAGGAGTATTTTTCTGCGTCTTTTAAACATTGTTGGAGATTCCTACACAATTCTTAGCTGGCTTATTTTTTTGCTGCACACACACAGTTGTGTTAATCCTTTTGACCAGCTGCTTTTGGTTTCCATGTATGAAGGCAGCATTTGTGGATTTCCAACCAGCTTCTACTGTTTTTGTTTCTTAACTGTTCTTCAGGAGAAAATCCTGATGAGATTCTCAGGCTACAATCAGACTTGTGAGGGATTAGAATGTCCAAGATGTTGTCAGGGAGCAATACCAAAGGTTCTTAAAAGTATTCAGCATGTTTTAAAAAATCAATTCTAAAGGATACAGATAACCAATGTAGGAATGTCAAAATCGACGTTATGTTGATTCTTTTTTTTTTTTTTTGGATTGGACTATAGAGAGTAGTTCTGCTGAAGAATTCTGGACCAGTAGAAGTCTGGATAGGCTGTACTGGCTAAGACAGAACTACAGTGAGTTACAGGGATCTAACTGGGAGCAGGGAAGCCTTGGAAGCACTATTGTTTTTATACACACACCATACATCAGGAACACTATGGTCTCTATGCGGAAGAATAATGTACTATCTGATGGACTGGGGGAAAAAAGTTACCTCAGAATGCAACCTTTGAGTATGATCTATCCACAAGACAGGGTTAACCCATTTATATGCAGATGTTTGCAGCTAAACAGTTTGGATTGAATGTTTCTGAAAGGCCCGTCTTGCCCTGAAAGTAAATTGTATGACATGTCTTGGTAGGACATGCTGTGGTTCTAGCATGAGCCAATGAGTGAAGAATTAAATTGTTTATCTTGTTTATCACCAAAAGAGTTTGGGTTGATAGGCAAGCACCTGCTCATGGTTCAGTGGAAGTGCTGTAATACTGAAATATCAGTGAATAGTCATTAAAGACAATGATTCAATTGCATTGTAATCTACAATGGATGTATGATTAGGTGCACGACTAGTAAATGCATTGGGTTAAAATCATGTGTGGAGAATTGTTCCCTAATACAAGGATTGCATGTATAAACAGCCACTTCACATTATTTGAGTAAACGCTGAAACCATCTCATGAGACATTTTCCAAAATCCTTCCCACTTGACAAGAAGGTCCCAAATTGAGTCAGACTCTGCAGTCCTACCTGCCTGTTCAGTGCAAGCTGATTTAAATTGAAGCACAAACTAAATGCCTAATTGTACATTGCGGTTGGTTAGCTAATGAGCTGCGTTATGTCTGCTGTGATTAGCTGTTATTTGCTCCTAGGATGCTTTGCCCAGCAGAGTAGAACATTGGTACTTAGTTGGTTGCCAGGAAGTGAAGTCTGCCAGTGTTTCTGTTTCTGTGTGTGTGTGTGTGTGTGTGTGTTTGTACGGGGACAGTGTTTCAGTAAGTCTCTGTGCTTTGAATGCTGGTTTTAGCTCTGTAATTGTTTCCATTAACGTACTGGCATCAGTTTATCTAAGACACACTGCTGATTTAGCCAAACACACACACACATAGTATCAGACACATACTTCACTGACACTTCACTGGCATCATTTCTTCTGTTAGAGACGGAATAATCAGTGAAGCTGAAAAGACATAAAGTTTGCACATAGCTCTGGTTCAACTTTAAGTGTAACTGACACTGAATTGTGCTGAGGGTGCTGCTTTTTGATACATCATTATATACGTGGATGTTGGTCAATGTAGATGTGGATCAGTGGTGTCATCTGTTATGGGAGATCATGGGAAGCACACTGATAATATTTGAAGCTAAATGTTATTAAAACATGCTTCCCAATATTGGTTTGGTAACACACTTCCATGATATGAGCAAATACTTGATTAGAATACTCTAGTTTGGGTTGTTAAAGCATTGTGACCATCACTGGACATTTTTATAGTGAAAAATAAAAAGAGCTGAGAACATGACACATAACAGGAAAATAATCATATAACATTTACCAAGCAAGCGTTTAAAATCAGAATTAAAAGCAGCAGCAAAAATGTAATGAAATCAGAATCAGAATCAGCTTTAATGGCCAAATACGTACACAACATACAAGGAATTTGGTTACGGCTGTTGGTGTCGCCCTAGGAATTTACACGAATAATAGAAATAGGAAAATTTAAAAAAATAAAATAAAATAAAGTAAAATAACTACAGAAGAAAAAGACTAAAATACAATAAATATTAATGAAAAAATAAACAAGATAATAAGACAAATATATACAAGAATTTACACATCCAGTAGAAAAGGTATATGTACATTAGTGCAAAATGAAAGTGCATATAGCAGTTGTGGCTTGGAGTGGCTCAGCTGTTCAGTAGGGTTATGGCAGTGGGATAAAAACTGTTTTTATGTCTGGTGGTTTTAGTCTGCAGGACTCTGTATCGCCTGCCGGAAGGGAGGAGGGAGAACAGTTTATGACCAGGATGAGTGGGGTCTGTGATGATGTTCCCTGCCCTCTTCCTGGTTCTATTGGAGTACAGTTTCTGGATGGAGGGCAGGGGGGCTCCGATGATCTTCTCGGCTGTTCTGACTGTGCGCTGCAGCCTGTTCCGGTCCTGCAGTGTGGCTGCTCCAAACCACACAGTGACAGAGCTGCACAGGACAGCTTCGAAATACAGAGTTTGAAGATTCATTGTTGCATTTGTTTCCTGGGTCCCTGTGGTCAATCATGTGATTCAATATACAAAAAGATCACTTATTAGCTGTTTTGGAGCTTTCAAATGGATCATCAGACTTTCAAATTCATTTTACCAAAGAAGGCCGTCAGATACAGTTATGCTCATGTGAGACAACTCTGGATGGTCTTCCATGAGCATACTTTATTTGCTCAAAGGCACAGTATTTCTTGTCTCTAACAGGCATTGTCACTTTCTCCTCAGAGCCCATGGCCCAGATGCGATGATCCTGGTGGATGGGCAGCCTCTGCAGACCAATGGTGAGCTGGGTCTGTCCCAGATGCTCCACATAGCCAGTCAGATCGCAGCTGGGATGATCTACTTGGCATCTCAACACTTTGTGCATCGTGATTTGGCAACCAGGAACTGCTTGGTGGGAAATGGCCTTCTGGTGAAAATAGGAGATTTTGGCATGTCCAGAGACATTTACAGCACAGATTATTACAGGGTAAGGTCGCTCACACCCAACACACAACACAACTCTTGCTCTTTTTTTTTCCTCCATTCATTTACCAAAAAGAAAATTAAATCAAATATTTACGTAGCGAATAATAGCGAATTGTTTTATTTGAATGTATATGTTGTGATTTTGCTGTTATTGATTGTATTTTCACAACCAAAATGATGTTAACAAAGCAGGATGATGTTATACAGTAATAGCACCTTGGTTTCATAGTCGGGGATTACACACCATCACTCATGTGGGTGGCTGACACTGTCCACTCCCCATCCATCTCAACATGTCAGCAGTGAACTGGTACGGAGTCAATAAGCATTCTACAATATTGTTCAATAGTATCAGAATAGAGTTCTGTCATGACTGACAGTAGTATCACAATTCTGAATAGCTTCCCTAAATGGTTTGGACGTGTTATTATCAAAAGTATTAATTCATAAAACAATGTCAATGAGGCCTAGACCTTGGACAGTGCTACATTTCTGATGTGGGTCTCAGGTGGAGGCAATGAAAAAGTCTGACTGTACGTTACCTGTCTACATAGAGGAGGTTTGTCTTCTTGGATGATGGAAACAACGACACAGGAGGCTCTGTCAGCGTTGCATTTGGCATGGTGGAAGTAACTTCTATTTGACTCTTAACCCTGATGAGTTTCTGTGTGTTTCTGTCTATGACATTTTTCCTCACTTTAGACTAATTTTTCACTGCAATATAAATCCCTGCACCACTATGGAAACAGCACAACTAAGGCTAACAGGAGAGGGTATGAGAGCAGTGTGACAACCCTATCCAGTCTGTGTAAACACATGAAGTTTCTCATTTTTTGTCATGTGACTGCTGGTTACAGCTAAGTCACTGGCACACAGAATGTTTTGCTTTAGACATAGTGGGATGTGGGGAATTCTCCAGGAATTCTGTATTACGTCCACCCATGGTGCTAATCACAACTCAGAAATAATCACATTGGGGCGCAGCTATAGCTCACCTGGTTGAGCTGGCATCCTATGTGCAGGGCTACAGTCCCGATGTGGAGGTCATGAGTTTGAATCCCGCTCATGGGATAAAAAAAAAAACATTGACATGGGTCACTTTGTTCTGTTTAAATAGATGTGCGATTCCTCCAGTCAGAGCTTTCACTACCTTTCCCACATGTCCTCCCCCCATTCTTCTCCCCCACTTTCCTGTCTCTATCTCACTTCACTATCAAATAAAGGCACAAAAAAAAAGAATGAAATAATCACATTGACATGGTACACAGCCCAATATGTAAGTGACTGCCATATCCTGTAAAAAAGTGCAGCTAATCCTTTGTATGATACAAGGTGCTGTGCCACCATCTGCATAGCAGACCGACTTGTAACTATTGCTTTACAAATAGAACTGTAAGCACATCTGCTGTCCGCTTTCACAGTCTGCATCAGTCATGCAGAAACCACGACTTGATCTTAAGATCATTGTTCTATTTGTAAATGAACCAAGAAACTGTTCCTGTTTCAGTTTCTGTTTGTATGCAGGCAAGTGGTCTACTTTCATAAAAGTGATGTGTTGATAGTATTTAGAAGGTCCTTCTTCATGTTAGCTCTGTTTAACACTCTGTTGAACAAAGCTTCACAATGTGAGGTAACTTACACTCCTGTACAGGTCGGCCATGGCTAAAGATTTATCAGCCTGTGTAGGGATGTAATCAGGAGGATGGAGCTGAACCTTCTGGTTATCAGCAAGAAGTGGGACAAATTCTATTTTTTCATGCTTACTTGCTTGTCGCTATCATGATACGTTATCGTCACCTGGAAAGTAAGCAAATGAGTTAAGTGCATGACTTTATACAGTCTTCTTTAAACAGTGTGTGAGTCTGATTACATTCAAACTGTATGCTAATGTCAAGTGGAATAGTAATCGAGCTGGATAATTTGCATGGTAATGCCCTTTAGTAATACCACTCAATGAAGTGGTAGCTCAACTGGTTGAGCGGGCGATCCACAAACAGGCGCTATAGCCCCCGATGTAGTGGTCACCAATCTGGCCGTTTGCTGCAGATTCTACCCCGACACTCTCTCGTACTTTCCTGTCTTCCTTACTATCCTGTCTAATAAAGGCAAAAGATATATATAAATATAAATATATAAAAATGAAGTTGAATTGTAAAATTTAAACAATATTACAGAGAGACAAAAATTTGACTGGTTGCCAATACAAAGTAATACAAAAATCTCAAGGTGTAATTGAACAGTCAGTAGAAGTAGGAAGGAGGAGGAGGAGGAGTGTGCGAGACCTGCTATGTCAGCATCACGATGTAGGTCATTCATCATGTGAGTCTTGATTAGGACGCACATATTTGACTAAATTAGTTAAACTGCTTGATAATTTCGCAGCAGTCAGAGAGCAGGCTGGAGCAGATAAATAAAGATTCACTGTCTCATCTACATACTGTTATATAACAGAGAGGACATGCTGGATAGTGTATTTTCTCATATCATCGCCATGTGTAATTAAACAAAGAATCCATCCAGTGACAAAATACAGATACTCAATCATCACTACGCTATTGTCATTAGTGCACACAGTTATTATTACAATCTCATAATGCAGCGGTCCAGGGTATATGTGCTATCAATCTGCAACATCGAGCCAGTGGACAGTGCTTTTCAAACTTCATTAGTAATTCTTATGTTATATACCATTTAAAAGAATGTGAGTTGTACTGTTTGGTGTTCTCTTGGCAGAATTAGGTCAAATGTTAGCACACAGCACATCGTAGTGTGAGTTGTGCCATGCCAACAAATGCATGCTCACTGTTGTTTGCAAGCCTAGACTTGGAAACTGTGAGAAGAATCATATCTGCTCTGTGTGCCTGTATGTACACATGGAAAATCTGAGTATCATCACTTTAAATTGACACAATGTGTTGCGGTAATTTTGAGAAAAGAACAGGACCCAGAATGAACCCTGAAAGTAAAATCGAAATATTTTAGACCAGGAGATAAAACCAGCTAGTTCAACAGAAGTATGTTAGAGTCACAGGACATGAACCACTCCGGAGCCAACCCTGTAATTCCAACATGATTAGCGAGTACATTAGCTAAAATGCTTTCATCAACCATGTCAAATTCAGCCAAGCAGGACTCAAATGGAGCAGAGTGGTGGAGGTCATCTGATGCACAGTGTAAAGCTGCTTCTGTATTACAATCAGACCTTTAACCAGTTTGGAATTTCTCAGCCAGGCAGTTTAAGTGTGCCTTTTTCAACATTTTCTTAATAGACCACTTTCTTTTTTTGAGTCTGAGAAAAATATTCAGGGAAGTGGTACAAAATTTCTTGGAATGTGAAATATAATAAAATGTAGTGGTAGGCATCACAAAGGAAGATAAACTTTATAAAACTAGATATCTTAAAAGATTGAGCCATGTATTGTGTAATAGCATTTTTTAAAAAAACACGTGTTTTTCAAGACTCATGAAAAAGTAAAATCAAGAAGTAAGCAGGTTTGTTTTTAAGAATTCTATGCCCAAAGTGTTTTTCGAACAGCAGGTACAAAATATAAAAGTTTCCAGAGACTATACATCTGTCAAAATCAGCTGGAATCAGGAATGATATATAAGAAAACCCTGCAATGAAACTCAGAATTTAGTGTAACAATATTAGAATTAGAATATTTGGTTCGAAGAGAAGGTCAGTGAACAAACAAATTAAAATTAACAGAAGACATCAAGCTGCTTTTTAGTGAAATATGATGAGCTTTATTAAAAAGGAAAGCTGTAAGATTTAGGTGACGGAAAACATGGTAAGGCTAACAAATGAAGGCAGTGGTTTCCAGAGCTTTTTTAACAATCACTAAACACCATAAGATCATGTGACCACTGTTGTTCTTCAAAGTCTGTGATTAGGGTCATTTTAGCTTTGGGCTGGTAGTAATCAGAGAACCCAGCTTCATAGACACATATTTCATTTTTATTCAATTTTGCAATTCCCAAAGTCATTCCTGAATTATAACCATCAGATCCCAAATACTTAAGATTTGCTTAATATGCAAAACAATGGTGCTGTATAAGTCTCCTGTGGAATTCACAATGCTTGTTATATGATCACAAAGACAACGTGTGTAAGATATTTATCACTTGTTTTGACCTCTTTCTCAAATGTATGTTTGTGCAGGTGGGAGGTCACACGATGCTGCCTATCCGTTGGATGCCCCCGGAGAGCATCATGTACAGGAAGTTCACCACAGAGAGCGATGTGTGGAGCTTTGGAGTCATTCTGTGGGAGATCTTTACTTACGGCAAACAGCCGTGGTTCCAGCTCGCCAATAATGAGGTATGCTATCACTTAGATGATATTTATTAGCTGATAATTGTATTTTTGCAAAATAGAGGGTCAAAAACAAAACAACAAAAAACTTGTGTCCACTCTGTGATTTTTCACATCGTTAACGTGTTGGGTTGTATCATTAGAACCTGATTGAAACTGGATATAAATAAACACATTTCAATACAACAGAGTCTAGCACTTTGTGTGTGAAGAAGGTTTGAAGAAATATGATGTTTCTAAACTAGAATGTGAAGATCGGACTCGACCCTACAGTGCTAACAAAATGACAAAACTCTGTACAAGACCAATGTAGTAATAAGCAGGCATTGTCTTAAAGGTTGGTGGACTTTGTTGTTTTCTTCATGGCAGCGCTCCCATACAAAGGCGGTGATTTGTAATAGATAAACACAGTGTTAGGAGATGGCTCCTAATTTACAGGAAGTGGACCCAATAAAGGCGACAAGGGAGGTGGGTGGTAAAAAGAGGGTTTTTAATCGGGGAGGGAGTGAGGACACCAAGGAAGCATGAGGGGGAAGTGCCAGTGCCATGAACCGTGTTCCGGGGAAGAGGGTGCTTGGATCCAGTGGTGGGAAACCTGGAGGGCTGCTGCTGGTGGTTGCCTCGAGATGGCTGGGCAGGATGTCAGGCTGAGGAGGCTCTGCAGAGAATGCCTACATAAAAACGTCAGCATGGAATTAAATAACAACAAACCCGAGAACTCGAGAAGAAGCGTGGCCGATCTACCGCTCGACGGAAGGAAGCCAGCTTAACAGCAGCACTAATTGCAATGCGGGGCAGGTGTGGTGGATAATGAGTGAGCGAGTCCTCCTCGACCGTGGCCCCGCCCAGTCTGAAAGTGCAAAGCACGTCAAAACTAAAACACAGGAAATACAACCAACATAAAAGCACAAGACCGGAATCCCAAAACACAGGATTATAAATGATAGAGCAAAACCATTATTTTGTGTGACCTTTTTTTTTTCATCTTCAAGAGCACCTCAATGTCCCTGGGTTTGAATATGAAATTTAAGAAGCACTTGGCCTCTGCATTCTGTCATTTTTCAGCAAAAAAGATGTATTGTAATGTGAAATACTCCAAATCATGGGCGCCAAACTCAAATGCACAGTGGGCCAAAATAAAAAACTGGGACTAAGTCGCAGGCCAGACTCACTATTTATTAATTGTGCATGTTTTCTTTTCTCTCCAGATATATAATGAGAATCTTTTTCATACTGAAAACACGTTTTGCTTAAACATTGAATCTGGAACAAGCAAATCTTAATATTATGAACACATCAGTGACATTTTTATTTATTTTTTTTTAAATGACTTTGCTCCTGTTTTTCATCTTTCGTGTGACTGTTTCTTGTGACAAGTGGCTTCAATTTTCCCAAGGTGACTGATAACATGAGGTTGCTAATGAATGTCAAGAGCTGTTAATGAATGTCAACAGAAGGGGGAGGGGATGCTTGCAGGTCTTCACTGACCCATCAGTGCACTAGCAGAGCATCCTGGGATGAGTAGTATCGTGGTGCATGTACCGGTGGGCCAGCTCTAATAGACATTTGATATTATCTCGCCAACCAAATATAATTACACTGGGGGCCAGATTGACACCTATGCTCTACATAAACAGGCACCTGAAGAACAAAGCTGCCAAGGCTTTATCGTCTTTCTCTTTGGGATGTGTTCAGAATCCCTTGTTATCTTGTTTCATCAATGAGCAGGTGAGCAAGTGTAAGAAGAGTCCTTACATCTCAGTGAAGGGACGCTTTTTGTTCCAAAACAGAGGATAGGCAGCAAATGCAGAATCTGGTAGTAATAGCTGAATCAGCAGGTATTGATCAGCAAATGTAATTTCCTTCAGATTCATTGTGGTTTATCTGTGCTGTGGGTAAATAAGAAAGGGCATAAGATTGAAACTTCAAGCAAAACTGGATTTAAGAGTGAGAATTGTGGAAAAATCTTCAGGCAGGCTAAAAGATATCCAGAGAACGAGGACCTCAAGATAACACAAGACCTGTTCTGATAATTATGCTCGTCCTGGCTTCAGCTTTATTGTTTGACAATGGGAACAAAATGCCAGTTTTTGCATCAGAAACCTTGAGAATTTTGTCAGTTTGTGTATTTGCAGGAAGTTTCCAATTAAAAAACTCAAATGAGGGAAATGTTTTTTCCTTATCTGCACAAACACTGAATGGCAAACTGAAAAAATAAAGCATTACAGGTGTGTTGGTATTGTGTTGTGGTCCCAGAACTCCCATCTTACTGGTGTGCTCCATTTTTACAAGAGAACTCATAGTACCAAGAGTGAATGAAGAGCTTTGTGTAGAAAATATGTGTAATTGCTATTTTGCAGAAATGGTCACCCCCACTTTAATAATATAAAACAAAGAAATGTTTTTTTTTTAAGTCAGGAAAAGCATGTTTTAGCGTTCCAAAGCTTATAGGTGATTCTTCATGTTGAGTTTGACCTACCATGGAGTGGGACCTACGTGAACAATAAAAAGGCCACTCACAAAAGAAGTCGTTGGCCAGCATGATTTAAACTTTCAGGGATGGACGGAATACAAGAATGTTTTAATCAAATTCCTTGTGGAAGAAAAAAATGTATTTTGATAAATGTCAAAGGAGACAAATTAAAATGTACATTAAGTATGAAGTCATTTACATTTCTACAGATCTAATTCATCAGTGCAGCAGCAGAGTGATGAGCATGATTGAAGTGATATACTTTATACTGAAGTTACCAAAAGAATGGCAACATCAGATGCAAACAGACTAGTTCAAATGAAGTACAAACACAACATACTGTATAATTATTGTTTAAGCAAAAAAGTGTTGCATCACACAAGCGATACTATGCAATATCCAAAAGCTTTTCATAAAGCCAAGGCAAATGATTTTTTAAAACATCATTAATGGCAATTTAGCAATTTTAATTAAAGTATTTTAAGTTATGCAACACAGTCCCAAAATGTGTCATAGATATGCTGGCCCACAGCATTTTAGCTTCCTGCTTCTACATCATGTGACTATCAATTTTAATGTCACAAGAACAAAAAAGTCTGCATAAGGAGGCTGGAGGAGCTGTGGCGGCATTATGGAACTTTCAAACAGGAGAGACTTGTGTATGTGTGGCTATTTTTTTGTGGTATTTTTAGTCACTATTTAGTTTGCTTTTGTTTACACTGCAGGTACATTTGCTGCCAGGTTACAGTTCACCACCACTGGCTTGAACTAGCTTGTCCATCCATCCATTATCTATACACGCTTAATCCTCACTAGGGTCATGGAGGGGCTGGAGCCTATCCCAGCTGACTTAGGATGAAGGCAGGGGACACCCTGGACAGGTCACCAGTCTATCACAGTGCTACACTTAGAGACAGACAACCAAGCACACTCACATTCACACCTACGGACAATTTAGAATCACCAGTTAACCTCAGCATGTTTTTGGACTGTGTGGGAGGAAGCCGGAGAACCCGGAGAGAACCCACGCTACACGGGGAGAACATGCAAACTAGCTTGGAAAAACAAAAGCCTGCCTTAAGAAAACTTTAAATACACAATGACTTTTGACCATCAAATGACACAGTGCTCTGAAACACACCTTACAAGTGATGCAGTTTAGGTTGCTAAACTTGTTTCTTACAGTATGTCTCATTGTCTCTGTGTCTTCCCAGGTGATAGAGTGCATCACTCAGGGCAGGGTACTGGAGCGCCCCAGGCTCTGTCCCAAGGAAGTCTACGATATTATGTTAGGCTGCTGGCAGAGGGAGCCACAGCAGCGCCTCAACATTAAGGACATTCAGAAGATGCTGTTTACTCTGATGAAAGCCACACCAGTCTATCTGGACATACTGGGATAAAAATCGATACAAAAAAAGGGATGAGACGTGTTTCGAGTGAGACTTGATCATCACTGAAACAGAGATGTACACAATGGATCGGGATGGAATGGATTGCCGTGGAAAACAAGTCTGGTCTGGACTCATGGTGATGGAACCATGTGACCTGGGATTAGGAGTGGAACATTACCTTGCTTTCAACTGCCTGAAATATAAGGATGGGAATTAGCTTACTTAGGCGGTGTAATATGTATTTAACTGGATCCAAATGAACTGGACAACACTGCATTGTGTTACTACCTACAAAGTTGGGATCAAGCTGGTTGATTCTTTATTGAATGAAGTCATGGCTTAAAAGATTTAAGTATGATTACATCAAAATGGACTGAGTCAGTTAACCTGATTGTACTGGTCTGGTATGGTTTTGTTTTCTTATCCTAATAATCTGGTTACCCTCATTCTTCACCTATGCATCTCATTTCATCCCTTCTAGATCAAAGTAGCATCGGTCCTCTGCAAGTCTTGATAAAACCTGATTGGCCAGGTGGCGTTTGGATATTTCCCTTATTCAACCCTAGATTATATTCATCTCACCTTAACATGCATTTATCTGTGTCCGTTTATATGTCAGGGTTAGGGTTCGGGTTCGGGTTAGTCAAGTTGGTGTGGCTCAACTTGACTAGGTTTCAGGAATATTAAATTAGAGCTCTTTTACTTGTGAGGCCTTATTTGGCTTAATTAGTTTTCTGCCTGTTACAGAGCTGTGGAGTAGAGAAAGTCCAAAGATGACTTGCAGTGTAATGTTGTTAATTACCTGCTCTTTAAAAAAAAAAAAAAAGTGTTTTCCAGGACAATCTGGTTTGATTATTTAAGTTTAAAAGTTTTGAGTGTGCCTCGTAGACATTTGACACTTGGCCAAATCAGATTTGTCTTAGTATCCATAATATTATCCATAAAAGATGTCATGCCAAACATTTTTCATACAGAAATGATGGTGAACGCTCCCCAGGTTCATTGTCATAACACATTTACCCATGTTTCTATTTAGTGGCCTACTTTGGAGTGTAAAACACTGGTCTGATTCTGATGGAACTGTCCTCTCTGAATGATAATCTTTGGTGGGTAATTCTTAGTAAAACCATGAGGAGAAGATCAGAACTGCTGCTTTATTTCATTATGGAACCTCTCTTGGCCGTGGCTACTCCTGAAACCAGCTGTAGCTGCGACTGCCATTGTCATGAAAAGAATGTCAAAGAAAGAGGTACCTTTCACTTTCTACAGAGCGATCATGAGGACCAGGCAGCTCTGGCTTAAAATTAAGCAAATGTACTGTTCACATATGTGGGAACCCTTCATTGTTTTCATTTCATTGTTGTTCACATGAAGTAAGCAATGTATCACGAAAGAGCGATGTGCGTAGCTCAAACGTGTCGTGTGCAGTAGCTACTGTGTTCTGAAGTGCTCGCTCAAAGTCAGCACCCTTCATCTTCTAAGTCATCATAAATGCACCTCCAAGTCCTGATTTTATGTAAACCCACTAAGCTGTTTACTTCTGCAAGAACCAGACTAGACCTTCCCGTCCTGGGCCTGTATGCTTGACCTGAGTGACTGTCTGTCGCCATAGAGATGGACCTAAGTGCCTCCTACTTCTTTCTGAACACTGCAACTCAAAAAAAAAAAAGTAGTCTTTTGAAACAAGAGCACTTTTACATTTTGTTTACCTGCCTAAAAATGTAAATTTGCTGTAAATTGTCCTCATTTTTAAACTGTCCTAATTTTTCTTACAGCGAACCTACTCTCAGCACTCAATGTATTGCAAAAAAACAAAAAAAAAGCCCTCAAAAACAGAAATATAATAGAAATGATGTAGACAATTATAAATCCCTCTGGGGGAAAAAAAAAACAAAAAACATAAAGAAAAAGCTTTTTGTATCCTTTGCAGTTTGACAACAGAGCCAAACTACCCAAGGTGAAGTTACATTGTGTTTTTTTTTTTTAAATACATATTATATATATATTTTCTATTATTATTTTTTTTTTAAGTCAAAGAGTGGACTTCTGCAATTCTTCCAAAGCCATTAGGACATTCTACCACTTGGTAAAAATAAATAAATAAATAACGTATCGGCATTACAAAGGAAACAACTGACTGAGAAGAAATCATTAAGGTTTCCCTTAGAAGAAGCTGATTTGCTGAGTGTGATCCACTCTGACCTCAGATGCTGGACATAAACAAGAAACATCTTTCAGTCAAAATAACATAGCTGAAAGGATAAAGACGGAGCCACCAGTTAATGAACAAAATGTTGTTACTTTTTAAAAGGATGTATATACTGTAAATCTCTGTATCTTGAGATATGTTAACTTATTTTGTTTTTTTTTTTTTAGTTTCATTGTTTCTGGCTTCTTTATGTGTTGTTATATAACAGATATTTTGATATCTTTCTTTTCAGGTGTAATCTACTGTTCTGAGTTTTTTTTTTTTCTTGACATATTTTAAAAATGCCAGTTGATTTTAGTTGATCATTTGATGGTAATTTATGAGTCAGGACAATAGAGGAACGATGTAAAGTGTTGGGCCATATTCTTTTATTGACCTGTTCGAGGATTGTACGCATTCTTCAGTGTTTCAGTCGAACTATGTTTGCCACTCGTTATCCACGATCATAAATCGATCAGTATGAGTTCTATCTCTCTGTGTCTGTTAACAGTGTTCGATCCAGTATGGCTGCATATTACATGTCATGTGTATGTTTTCTCTCGCTTATTATATAGCTGATCATTCAGAGTTACCTTTCTATCTCTCTCTCTATCGCTCTGTCTCTCTTTCTCTCTTGTTCTTTCTTTCTAGATAGACTTGGTAGCACAACGATATGTTACACTTATGTTAGACAGGTCTTTATTTGATGGAAGTATTTGGTTGAATTTGGCTACTGAAGTGTTATGCAGTACATAGACCTATTCATTTGGCTCAAACAGTACTAACAGTTGGCGTAGCTAGTCTTGGGATTTGATGCTTGATACTGCTGAGAAGTTCAGGTATGACACAACAGCTACACTAGGGCATCATTTGTTTGCAAAAAAATTGCATATTTTGTTGAGTGATTTTGAACTACAAAACATTCACCTGAACACCTGATGTTATTTTGAGATTATTGCATTGCATATTTGCAGAATATTTGTGTACTTTGTGCAGGTGTCATTTACATATAAGATGGCAATATGAGTTATTCTAATGTACAGATATCGCTGTTGGATTTTCTCATATTGGAAACCTTTTCACGTCATTTCTTGAAAACTGAGAATACTTTTAATCAGCTCTAATATGTGTTAAAGTGCTGGTCAGTGACCTCACCCTGTGCAGATTTTCAGTGTTTAAGAAAATTGGTCAGGCTTTGTTTGAACACACTGAAGCACTGTGCTGGATGGATTATTGCAGCCAGCATAACGAATGATATTAGAATGAGAAGAACAAAACCTTTCACCATCCATTTTAGTTACAGCACTCCAGTATACAGTATATCTTTTCTATGCATTGCACAGTAACCCAGAAATAATATTCATATTGTGTGATTCCCAAGGTCACAATTTGCATCCAGTACCATAACAGGAAGTAACTTGATTATATTCACATGGCCAGCCACAGACACTGGAGTTTGCTTAGAAAACATACATGTGCAGTTAGTCGTATTCTGCTCATACAGATTGTCCCCAAGCATGCACACTATTGTCCTTGTAGTGCAGTCGCTGTGCAGGACATGGTGAGATGATAAAATGTACATCATGTGGTCCCTCATGGACCCTCACATACTCACAGAGACTAATAACAAAACACTTAGCATGTCCTTCCATGTGGTGGCACAGAACGTTGGGGGAGGGAAGGTGGGTGATAAATGATTTTAATGTAACTAAGATAATTCACAAACATCATTAACAACATCAGAGTTGTTATATTCAGGCATAATCTGGAAGAAAAAACAATTTGGCATTGACATTAAGGAAATGTATGTTAAACATTAACAGTCCAGGTTTTAAATCCACTATGAAAGTACCAGGTGGGTTAAAACTTTGCAGACAAATTTGACTTTATTTCGTTCAAATATTGAGAATAGAAGTAGTTTAAAATTTCCGATGCACAGGTATATTTTGGGGATTTGAGCTCTGTGAGGCCAGAATAGTACATGTGCTTACGTTGATCCACTGCCAAATCTCTGTCGACCAGCTTGTTTTCAACTCTTAAAGACTATTACTGAGGCAGGCAGGGCAGGAAAATGTCCCAACAGCCTTTTTCTGATTCCTGTTTACAGCAGGCGTGACTCATTTCAGCAAGCGTGTGCAAACTTCATAGAGGACAAAATCTTCATGCAAAACACCTCCAACTCTCATTTAAGATACAGATCAAATATGTCTTGTATGATCACAACCATACATGTAATGGGTGTCTCTAATGACAATAGTGCTAAGTCAAACTGTTTCTCCTCCTTGGCTACTGACCTTACATTTATTCTTTTATCTAGCTTTTTTTGTTTAGCTGTTCATTTTATACTACATAATTTTATACTCATGTCAGCTTTCTTTTATTCATTCTATTTATTTAGTCTGTTTCGCTCTATGTTCATTCTCTCAGCATTTTTCTGTAGTTTTCCTGCATCATGTTTCCCATACTCAGTATTTATTCTGATATGTTAGAATCATCTTTACTCGATAATAAATAAATGTCTTTCTCTTCTGTTCTCTCTCTCACTCTCTCCCTCTCTCTCTAGATAAAGTGTTGTATATCCATCTCCATACATAACTCTGTCTATTAGAATAATTTGACAACTTATATAGCAACTTTCTAAAAAGCTAAGATGTGGTGAACTTTTAAGGTGGCTCTGTGTACGATTCTGACTCATTAAAAGTAACTTCATTGATTTGTTGCATCCTCTTTTTTTTGTTCTATGTTTTGTTTTGTTTTTTCTGTCCAGGAAAACATCCATCCATCCATTATCTATACACCGCTTAATCCTCACTTGGGTCAC